GCATTAAAAAAGATTATAAAAATAAGTTTTTGTTAAAATAAATTAGTTGAAAGATGACGTGGCAAAAAGATAAATAATTTTGAATAGGTTATGATAGTCGTGCTATGAGTCTGCGTGTCACTTTACCAAGCCTTTTCCTTGCTCCTAGCTTAAGGGATTAGGGACAATACTGTCTTTTTGACATTATGCATGCTGGCAAGTTGCGTGTCATCGTTGTTAACCTCCTGTTTTAATCAGAGTTAAAATTGTGATAACTTGAGTTAGCTTTTCGTTTTTTTGTTATAAATAGTTGTAATAATTCCATTTCCTAACACACAGAAATCCCCAAATTACTTTCTCTCTCAATATCATCCATTCATATATCTTTTTCAGTTCGGAACAAACTACCTGCTGGGCCCGAATCCCACTCCACGCTGCTGTCATCGAGTATCGACAATCCCCTCGTAAGTAAGCATTTGTCTATTCTTCTTCAGTTTTTCTTGCTGTTTTTATGTTTGATTGCAATTCCAAGTTATTTTGCCGATAAATCCTTCAAATGATGAAAAACTCCATCTCCGTTGTTTTATTTTTGATTCGAATCATGGCTGTTTGTTTATTCTGTTTCGAATTACTCGCATTTTATTGAAGCAAACTTATCGACAATGTGAATTTTGGTTTGATCCGACCTTTTCTTGAACGAAGCATTTTTCTTTTGGAACTATGAGGGATTTGTTTTTTATGCACTGCTGGTGATTTATCAGGCAAGAGTTCTGAGATCTAGGCGGTTTAAGTCTTAGTGAGTAAACTTTCGTGCTATTCATTCAAGATCATAATTGCGTGATATTTGATTTTCTATGGAAAATACTAAGGACATTATATTCGATTGGAGAAGTCAAATCTTTTGATTTTTGTTTATCGATGCACTAATTATTGCTTGATGTTTGATGCACTCATCATGTCTTAAATGCTATTTGTTCAAGATCATAGTTGATGTTTGAGGTCCTGTTCACAATAGTGAAGAAATTCAGGTGCAGTATGTTCAAGATCTGAATTCGTAATGGTGTAGTATGTTTAAGATCTTTGAAAATACAAAGGAAAACCAAATTTGATCAATGACGATTTGAGTTATGATGAGGAAAGCTTAAGTTTAGTTTGTTTACGATCCGAATTCTTGATGATGTTAGTTATAGAGAGTAAACTTATGGTGTTGTTTGTTTAAGATCAGATTACTTGTTCATTGAATAGGCTGGAATGTGATCCTACATATGACTCAATCAGATATGGTTTTTTTGCCCCAATTTTTTTTTACAGAAGATCGCCTCAGATTCTTGAAAATGATTTTCTTTGATTTTGAGGATTCTTTGACATTTTTTCACCATGAACACATTGATTTTTCAATCATGTAACTGCGTTCTACATTCAATAATCTTATTCCAGACAGACAGGTTTTAATAGAAAAAAGAACTAACTCTCTCGAATTTTGATTCATGTGTGCAGAAACTTCTTATCTCCTTTCCTCACTGATTAGGGTTTACCCGGTTTCCTGGTTTGAATATCTCTTCTTCTAATTCCTTTTTTCGCTTTCTTTATTTAATTTGTTCATAGACTTGTCTTTTTTTCTTCAATTTCATTATTGTTTTACACAACGTCGAATTATTGTTCTACACCCACTCTGTGTTTGTTATCTAGAGGTCTAATTACTTAAATGTTTTTAAGTCGAACTGAAGATGATTCTGCTGTTACCGGGTACATTTACATTTCGATTTTTGCACACTCTATATCTCGAAGCAAAGCTGTTTTTATATGCTTACAGAACAACTTGTCATATGTTTCGGTTGTATTTTCTTTCTTGACCTATTCAGCAGACATCAGAGATGGCTACAACAACGGTTGATCTTCAAATCATCCCATTACATAACTGCACCAAATGTATAAGAAAGGTCGAAAAGACACTTTGTCGGTTTGATGGTGTCAAATTGTTAGATGTGGACTCTGAAAATGGGAAATTCACCATCCAAACTACTAGACACCCTGAAGAAATCAGGGATGCTCTTCAACGCAAGTTTTCTGGGAAATCCGTCATTCTGTCCAAAAGAATCGACCATTTGGATCCATTATCTACTTTGATCAACCCCCGTAATTCGTCCATTGAAGGTCCCCTCAATCTTCATGATTTAGCGGAGGCATTGGTGACGGTATGTCATGCCAATGGACTGCAGACTGTGGAGATCACGCAATCGAATACCATCAACTTCACCTTTGGCAACCAACTAACCACCTCTGCATCAGCTACAAATGTTCCGCCACCAGCACCACCACCACCACTGCCGCAATACCAACCGACAACTTCTGGATCAGCAAGGAGACCTGAAAATATTTGGGATTCTGAAGATGGTGGTCATGGATATGTTAATGTTCCTCCACCGCCACCGCCACCGCCACCGCCACCGCCACCGCCACCACCACAATATCAAGGGACTACCTCTGGATCAGCATGGGAAGATGAGAATGTCTGGAGTTATGGTGGTGCTCGCAATGAAGATGTCTGGGGTTATGGTGGTACTCGCAATGAAGATTTTGGTTATGGATATGCTCCTCCACCGCCGCCACGAACCACCACCGAGCCATCAGCAGCTCCACTGTTCCCCCGGGCTCAAGTTCAAGGCTATGTTTATGGGTATCCTATTGAGCTGTACAGGGACGATGACTATTCATGTGGCTGTTGTACCATCCTTTGATATCCATGACTTTTCATATTGTTTCATCTTATACAGAGCTAGTGAAGTGAGTGAGAGTGCGAGCTATTTATTATTTGAAAGTGAGGTTTGTTTAAATTTGTTAACCCCCAAATGATCAAAATCGAAATTTACCTCTAAACACTTGTTTTCTTGAAATTAATTTATGTGTGTTGATGGTTACATGAAATTTATTATTAATTATTAGATTGTTGAATTATAGATATCAAACTAAAACTCCCAAACCTTATGCAATTCTTTTACCTGTCTATCTCATTTTTGTTTATTCAGTCTAGTTCAGTTCAATTCTGTCAATATAACAAACACAATCATCATTTTCCAGGCATACGAGAAAAGAGTCCACAAGAGCATATTTGTTTGCTAGTTTCTTGATCCCGGAGATCTTTAAGTACGGGTCTAAAGGGTCGAGCTTTTAACGAGCTACTCGAGCTTGAGCTCGCTTATCTCGATCTCGAGCTTAATAATTGTTGAGCATGAGTCAATCTCGAACACAAGATAAAAATAGCCTAACTTAACGAGTTAAACTCCGTAGCACAAATGTTCCACTGGACTCGTTCAAAAACTTGAATAAACTTTATGAGTTAAATCCGAACGGAGCCATTCGAGTATACACTTTTTCGAGAACCAAACATGTTTATGTGTTTAGAAATTAAATAATTAAAATATAAAAATGAAAAGAGTTCGTGTAATAGCAAAATGAGACCGGATCAAGCCCAAAATAAAACCCGTCCTCTCTAGTTCTCCATTGACAACTGACGAATAAATTACAAATCTCATCTGTGTGGTATTGTAAAAATTACAAATCAGGTTCCTGCATTTCTTGTGGATTCGAGACCTATTGTTTAAATTTGGCTACACATCGAGGCTCTAACACTAAGGGGCCGTTTACCAAACACTTATCCGATAAGTGCTTATCGGTATAATTCAACACCATAACTTACTTACCGGGTAAGATTTTACTCTACCAAAACGGTATGTATGTAACAATTTACCTGGTAAATGTTAATCATGATAAAAATCATCGTCCTTGCTTACCGGGTAAGATTTATAGTCTTTGTCTCGTTCTTACCCGGTAAGGTTCTTTGTCAGTACTATATTCTTCGAGTATGGTTATTTGACTTAGTAAGCTCTCACCTAAATAAACATTTGATAAACAACCTCTAACTCTATTAAATTAGTTTCGTTAAATTAGAGGTATTTTAATATTTTTAATCATTACTTAAGAAAAACATTTTAGAGCACCCAATTACTTAATGCCAATTGCCACCTACCTCCTCACCCTCCCCATTTCACTTATTCAATCATTCCCACCCACCATCATCTTTTTCGACTACTACCCATCTCCGACTACCACATACAAGCACACAAAGTCAACCCAAATCCAAAACCTAATCACAAAACTCAAAAACTACATCAACAATAAACCAACTTCAAGAACATTAAAAATATACAAATTTATTCCAAAAAAAATTGTAGTACAAAACTTATGTAAATCTAAATTCTAAACTAAAATAGTTGAACAAGAAGAAAACCTAGAAAACATTGTGATTCCATAATAGTAAGAAAAATACTTAGAAACAAAATCCCCAAATCTATCGGCGAGATTGTTCCAACGATGAAGGTGTTCTGGTGGTAAGCCTCTTTGGTGGTTCTAGATCCGTATCAAAAAACTAGAAACAATCACCAAGATACCTTGATTGATGGTTCCACATCTAGATCATTGTTTTTCTGACATTTTTGATATCTTGGTATTCACATATAAAAGGAGCGGCTAGTTGATGTGCATTGAGATCAATCAGTTTCAACTAGTTAAAAATAAGGACTTGCTTTGTGAGATCTCAATTTCCAAGATGAAGGCTAATTTGATGTGTATCGAGATCAAGCAAAGGGAGGCCGATGGGAAAAACCAATGGGGAAAGGGCGTGCAACTATTGTATTAAATTGATCTTAATGTATAAAAAATCATACATAACTCAAATACAAAAACCCTATCAAGTCTATATTGTAAACGGTTCAAATTCAATAATATCTCTTTGTTGGAAGACAACGCCGTATTACAATTTATCTCTCATGCATGCCCCGTGGGTGATATACATTATTTTAAACAAATCTCCTCAAGTATTGTAACTGATACTGTCTTCAGCTATCGTTGAACGTTTTCAGCTTATCTGAAATTACCATCCCTTACATAACTTTTGCAAAGGTAATTATTATATTTGCATTAAAGGAAGTTTCTAAATATATATATATATATATATATATATATATATATATATAAGGGCCCATTGAAGGAAGAACTGACTAGTTTGTGATAACCATGAGATCCAATCTCAATCACAAATCAATAGATAAATTAGGAAATTTATAATTTTGTTAATTTTTAATTAAAATTTTAATGCAATGACATTGTAGGTATTTTCTCTCATCTCTTCTCTCTTCGTCCCCGTCTTCCGGCCCACGGTCTCCGGCTACCGTCCTCCGGTGATATCATAGTATAATAATACTCAAGCATATATAAGATTATAGTGATATCATTGTGTTACATATTTGATCGACCGCACAAACAACCACATTGTGATACCACTGTACTATCACCAGAGGACGGTGGCCGAAGGCCAAAGGACCTGAGGCTGGGAGACGGAGAGAGGAGAGAAAATACCTAAAATGTCCTTGTATTAAAATTTTAATTAAAATTTACCAAAATTATAAATTTCCTAATTTATCTATTGATTTATGGTTGAGATTGAAACTCATGGTTACCATAAACTAATTAGTTCTCATTTGATTAGATCTTTATATATATACTAGAAGCGCACTCGCGCAATGCAGCGAGATACATCGTGTTTTTAATATTTCATTTTATTATTTATCTCAGTCGATGTTATAATATGGMTTTATGTGATTTTGAGAAAGCGATGATGTTTTTTATTTTTGAATAAAATATATGTTTGA